GCGTCTAGATTTTGTAGCCATTTGACACCGGGCCTTTTTAAAACCTGGCCATTCAAATTGCAAATTTCACAAATCTCTATAGAACCAGCAGCAAAATAGTGATACGTGAACGGTGAAAGTGCTACACATATGCCTTAGTGTATTGAAGCACTTGTACAACTGATTAAAATGTGTGTGTCGTCCCAGATAGCGGAGGAGGAAGCAGTGCTGGTCCAGTAATCTGTATATAAGGTGACAGCGTCTTCTCAGTGGAGGAGGAAGCAGTGCTGGATCAGTAAGCTGCATATAAGAGGACAGTGTGTGTCTTGTCAGCTAGTGGAGGAGGAAGCAATGCTGGTCCAGTAATCTGCATATGAGGTGACAGTGTATGTCTTGTCAGATGCTAGAGGAGGAAGCAGTGCTGGATCAGTAATCTGCATATAAGGTGACAGCGTGTGTCTTCTCAGATGGTGGAGGAGGAAGCAGTGCTGGATCAGTGATCTGCATATAAGGTGACCGTGTGATCCCCGGAGGAAGCATCACACGGTAGTCCCGTTCTCAGATGGGGAGCACATGGAAGGTTTGGCACATTTGGTGGAATGACGAAATTGTATTAATTTTGTCTCTTTCTTCAGCAGAGGCGTCAACGAAAGCCGCCAGGTCCTCCAGGAGCCCGACTTTGCTCAGTCTCTCCTCCGGGACCCCAATGCCCCCATCGTTCGCAAATCACGCGGGACGTCCACTCAGGGAACATCGACTCACGCCTCGTCCACTCAGCTGGCTGTGATGGATGAGCAGAGGAGCAAAGCGGGCAGCGTCCACAGCAAGATGAGCAGCTATCACGGCAGTCTTCATCGCTCCAGGGACGGAAGGTGATTGGACGCTCCCGGTCTATTCTGACGTCTTGCCGCAATTATTACTTTTAAAGAGCAACACATAATGTAACCACTAGGGGTGCACCGATACCGGTATTTGGTACCGAGTACCAATATTTTTTCCCCCCGATACTCACCGATACCAATTACCGATACCGGAAGTCCCATTCCGGCAGCCAGGCGGCGTGTAATGACTCGCCACCCGGCTTCCCGATTAACAAGAAAGCCGTTCCATGCTGCATGGGGCCGGCCTGCTGGCCAATCATGGAAGCCGGGCGCCGTGTAATGATGCGTCGCCCTGCTTCCTGATTGGCCGGCTCCATGCTCCCTCGTCGTGAGATGACGAGGGAGCATGAAGCCGGCTTCCCGGCCAAATCAGAATGCCGGGCGCTGCGTCATTACACGGCAAACCGGCTTCCTGATTGGCCAGCTTCCGGACCCATCAGGAAGCCGGGCAGCGCGTCATTACACGCTGCCCGCTTCTCCAGATTGGCCGGGAAGTCGGCTCCGTGCTCTCTCATCACAAGTGACGAGAGAGCATGGAGCCCCTTCCCAGGCCAATCAGGAAAACCGGGCAGCGTGTAATGAGGCGCTGCCCGGCTTCTTGATACCGGAAGTATCGGGCTAGGCATCAGAGCATTTGGGGCGACTACGAGTACTCGCCCAAATACTCGGTATCGGCAGTGGCGTCACAAGGGGGATGCGGCCCGCACCCGGGTGACACCATTGGCTGTCAGTCATTTTGGTGTCACCCCCCCTCTGAAAAGTCAGGCGCTTGGTCATGGACCGAACGCCCGACGGTATCAGGAGAGAGAAGAGGGGACCAGGCGGCATACCTTATCCCGCCGGGTGACTGTCCCCTCCTCTCTCTGCCGGCGTCCATCACCAAGATGGCCGCCGGCAGGTATCAGAAGAGTGCCGCGCGTGGTGACGTCATGCGCAGTGGCGAGTCGGCAGGGTGACACCCGGTAAAAGCTCCAGGTGTCACCCAGCCTCAGGACGCCCCTGGGTATTGGTGCATCCCTAGTAACCACCATTGAAATAGAAGAGTTGGCTGTGCTTTCTGTGCGAAAAGACAAACGTTTCCCTTCTAGTGAATACCTGGACCTGGCTGGTGTGCGCGCATCATGTGCAAATGTTATTCCCGTATGTGGTCATCATTCTGAACCCGAACTAGAAAGGGAAACTCTGTTCCTTAGGTGCAGCAGCAGGCGTGTGAGTTCTATTGTTCCTTCTAAACTTTACAGTCAGGAAGGGCTAGAACTGATCTTGTTTTGTTGTATGTGTCCCTTTTAGGGAGATTTCCCTTCACTTCCTTTGCCAGAGCTACAACAGGAAGTGAGAGGAAATCTATACAAAGTGTGAGGAAATCCGATCATGTAGTCACCAGAAGACTTCTCCTTACCTCCTTGTTCTGGTGACGACTGTAAATTTTGGATTTTCTATCACTTTCATCTTGATGACAATGGTCACAGGACCAATAAAACTCAACAGGGGGTCTAACTAGGGATGCACCGATGCCAGTTTTTCGGTATCGAGTACGAGTACCGAATTTTTTTTTTTTTTTCCACGGTACTCGCCGATACCGGAAGTCCCATTAAGCAAGCCAGGCGGCCTGTAATGACTCGCCCCCCCGGCTTCCTGATTGGCCAGGAAGCCAGCTCCATGCTCCATCGTCACCAGGGAGCAGGGGGCTGGCTTCCCAGCCAATCAGGAAGGCGGGGGATGGGTAATGACTCGTTCCCCGGCTTCCTGATTGGCCAGGAAGCCAGCTCCATGCTCCATCGTCACCAGGGAGCAGGGGGCTGGCTTCCCAGCCAATCAGGAAGGCGGGGGATGGGTAATGACTCGTTCCCCGGCTTCCTGATTGGCCAGGAAGCCAGCTCCATGCTCCCTCGTCACGCCAATCAGGAAGCTGGGCAGTATGTAATGACTCCCCGCCTGGCTTCCTGATTTGTCGAGAAGCTGGCCAATCATGAAGCCAGGCGGCGAGTCATTACCTGCCCCCCCCCCCCCCCCCCCAGCTTCCTGATTGGCCAGAAAGCCGGCTTCATGCTAATCAGGAAGCCAGGTGCCGTGTAAAGACTCAGGAAGCCAGGCGAGTCACAACCTGCCCCCCCCCGGCTTCCTGATTAGCAGAGAAGCCGGCTCCATGTGAGGGAGCATGGAGCTGGCTTCCTGGCCAATCAGGAAGCCGGGCAACGTGTGATGACTCTCTGCCCGGCTTCCTGATACTGGAAGTTCCGGTATCGGGCTAGGCATTGGGAGCATTTGGGCGAGTACGAGTACTTGCCCAAATACTTGGTATCAGCACCGACACCGATACCAGTATCAGTGCATCCCTAGTTCTAACCCCTCCACACTCTATACATACACTTTAAGGAATGATCTTTGATTTGGTTTCAGAAAAGTAAATAAATTCGGATTCAATGCCGAGGGCCGCAACCGAAGTTTTCTGTGCTGTCGTCATTAATCATCCCATGTCAATGTCTGAGTCTATAAATCACTTATACAGACTTCCGACCACTTGAGACCTTGTATCTAACAAGATGTTCTGTGCTTAGGTACACGCCATGCAGCTACCGAGGAATAGAAGAACGGGTCACGCACGGCAGCATGTCCCGTCTCACCGACCACTCCCTGCACAGCAGCACGCATAGACTTAATGAGCAGTCCAGGCAAGGCAGTGTCAGAGACTTAAACAACCCCTTGGCTCACATCTCCCATGGGACCAGCATGAACCGAGTCATTGAAGAGGATGGAGCAAGTGCCTGAAGGGCTCCTTGATGACGGACACACATGTCTTCTTGAAAGCACTATGTAGTTCAAAAGAATTACTAAGGAAGAGTTGAGCTCTTTCCCCTAACTCACCAAGGGGGGGCCTGTTCATTGATTTACAGTCCTTGGGTTCAATAACTCACAGGGGAGAGAGGTTTGTGAAGTTGGAGCTGGTCCTGTCATAGACGGTATGATTTATATTTCAGGATCTCCTCTAACAATCAGCAAAGCTAATTCCATAGCCAGGATCAGACCTCACACAGCTCCTGGCTATCCTAAGGAGGTTCACTGACTCTTGGTTGTACGTCATAACTCTTTCCTGAAGACCCGGTGTAAATGCAGGTCAGACTTTGCTCTGGACACATGCGTTCAAGTCTTACTCATGCCTAGAAATGACTGTTGCTTTCCAGAGGATTGAGTAGGAGGTCCTCCATCCCAAAGATCAAGTGCGGAGAATAGTTACATCAGCAAGGGTGGCTGGGACCTGTCCTATGACTTCTCTTGACACCCTCCCCAACCATGACAGTTTGGAGGCCTCTTCTGGGGTTTTTATACATGTGTAAGCTTTCGACATCACACAATCGGCAGAATTCACATTGTATTGGAGTGTGGAGGTCTGGCTTACTGGTGCTTATAATAATATGTTCCCTCATACTCCATTCCACAACTATTGATCAAGCCAAGCCATAGTCTACACACATTTAGATGATTTGTGGACTTGTGGCTCCATGTTACTGGTAAGAGATGGACCAGCTGCCTTCTGAAGCTTCTACTGCAACATGTTTCTGGACTTTAGATCTTTGATTAGGCGACAACCTACATGGAGACCTGAAACCTTTCTATATTTTGTCGTAATGTCATTGATTTGGAGATCAGGTTCCTTTTAGGCCGTATTTTCTGAGCCTATGAGAGGACTTCCAGGGCAGTGCAAATTGGAGTTCACTCCTAACATGGAACCAACATATCTGCTGTTGGGTTAGCAGTGGCCATCCTGGAGTTCATCGGAGCACTGGCTGTCTATAGGCCCATGTTGGCTACTTAGGATTCCACATTTATTTATTGACCGATTTACATTTTTGGATTTTCATGTTTCTGTTTTCTACACTTTTGGATTTTGTCTTTTGCCATTGGTCTTTCTCTTGCCACCGAATTCCGGGTCTTGAGGGTCATCTCACCCACAAACAGATGGATAGCAGCAGGTAGAATAACAAATTGACTCATTGTGACTACTAAGGACTCTACTTTTGGGATCCCAGCTCTGTCCAGCTCCTTTAGTCTTCATGAAGGGAATCCCACTCTCACCGCCTGCTTGTTTCTATTACTTTGGAAGGACGTTGCAGGAGGAATTAAATATCTGCTTTCCTTCACAAAAGCTTCATTAGGAAGGTAGACCTGGGAACACCAGGAGATCTCACTACTGACGCTAAGGGTCTATTTATCAATCTTCCTCAAAGCCATACACTGGGCAAATGCCATTTTCATGTCATTCCCGCCACTAGAGGGAGCCAAGGAGCATCCATCTAGTGGCGGGAATGCTGTGCCGACATCATTCGCTCAGCGTGTAGCTGGGGAGAAGATTTATAAACGGGCCCCTAAAACTTTCCCTTTTTTACCTTTTCAAATAATTTTAAGCTACATCATGCTTTTACTTACATGACTGTCTGCTGCAGACATCATGGAGGGAAGTCCCTACTATGGTGCTACTGATTTGTAAGGCCAGGGCAGCCATCAGGAGGGTACGGCCGATACTCATGTAAGGGGCCTCGGGGGCCCGCCCGGGTCCCTTACATGACTATAGGCCGACGGTGAAGGGCGAGGAGGCCTGGCCCTAGCAGCGCAGGGCCCCAGCATTGCCGCTCCAGCGGCTTCGAGACAAGCTGGGGCCAGGCCTGCTCGTCTGATGTCGGACTGGCCGGAAGTGACGTCACTTCTGGCCGG